CACAACGCCTGGCTATTTTTTGGTTGCAGCCATCATTGTTGTTTTGGCGGGTCCGGGCTGGGGATTCGAACCCGCCACGTTAGGTGTACGTGGCTGGCGCCTTAGCCGGTTGAGCTATAGGCGCCGAGCCGCAATTCCACACTCTTCACCAACTATTTATCTACTGTGCCCACCCGTGCCCAGGCGCCAGGCTCAACCCAGGACAACTATGAACAAGCCCCTGCCTAACAAACGTGGATCAGCGCCTCCAAGAGAAACAAGACTCACGCCTTTCTAGTAGCCACATCTTTTAAAAAGTTAGAATGTATTGGGTTAAATATATCTTTATGTATTAGGTGAAATTAATTTTAATAATACGTTTTTATTTAACCCAGTATATCCAAAATATGATCGGTTTAAGATGTAGTCGATTTTTAAAAATTCTCTTCTTTTTTTCATAGTAGCTCTTTGAAATCTGTGTGCATTTTACACAGACAGCACATCTCAATTCAGACTAGCCACATCTCAGGGGCTCAGCATTCCCATGGGGCAGTGGCTACCTTGTTGGAAAACACAGGTCTCGGCTGACCCAGGCTAAAGTAATCCTCCTGCCCCAGCCTCCTAAGTAGCTAGGACTGCAGGCACGCTCCACCATGCCTGGTTGGCCCATTACATATTATCCAGAATTCCCTATTCTGGCTTTGCTTTACTGACTAGGGATAAACTCTAGGCTGGGGAAGTCATTTTAACCTGTGAAGTATACAATAAGGGTGATATAAATATCTCCTTCTAGGTTGTAGTAGTATTCAATGGAATAATATATGCAAGAGAGCTTAGAACAAGTGCCTGAAAGGAAGTAAATGCCTCATAAATAGTGACCTAATAAATCAAGGCCTTCATCCACCTTTTTTTTTCTTTTTTGAGACAGAGTCTCAGTATATCACCCTCGGTAGAGTGCTATAGCATCATAGCTCACAGCAGCCTCCAATTCTTGGGCTTAAGTGATTCTCTTGCCTCAGCTTTCCAAGTAGCTGGGACTACAGGCACCTGCCACAACACCCGGCTATTTTGTTGTTGTTGTTGTTGTTGTTGTTGTTGTTGTTCTGTAGCAGGCCCGGGCAGGGTTTGAACCCACCAGCCCTGGTGCATGTGGCCGGCACACTAACCACTGAGCAATGGGCACCGAGCCACCTTTATCCACCTTTTAGCACAGAGATGGTCAATTTGATGTGTTGAGTTAGCTGGGCTATGGCGCCCAGTCATCCAGTCAAACCCTACCCATGAAAGTAGTTTTTAGATTTGATAAACATTGAAATCAGTAGATTTTGGATAAGCAGATTGCTATAAAAAATGTGGATGGACCTCCTCCAATCAGCTGAAAGCTTGCAGAGCAAAGAATGAGGTTTCCCATAGAAGAGGAAATGCAGCCTCAAGACTATAACACAGAAACCCTGCCTGAGTTTCCAGCCTGCAAATTTCAGACTCAAAACTGTGACATCAATTCTTTCTGAATTTCCAACTGGTCTGTTCTGGAAATTTCAGACTTGCCAGGCCCTGCGATTATAGGGGCCAATTTCTTAAAATACGTATCTCTCTTTCCCCACATAATAGACTATGTGTACCCCCAGGTGAGGGCATGACCAAAGCAGAGCATGAAACAGACACACCTTCCTCGTTCTGACTCATGTGGCATTAGAACAAGGGAACACCCCGGCCTTTCCCTCTCTCCAAGTGAACTGTCTCTCAAGATGGAGGGCTGAGGCCAAAGTGAAATTACCCACTCCAGAGATCCCTCCCAAGGGAACGGACCACAGGGTAGACTTTGATGGGGGGAAGAGGAGGAGAGGGAATGAAGAAGCAAGACCTGGGTTATGGGAACTTGCTCTTGAGGACAAGCCTGTGTGTCCCCATGGTGCAGTCAGGGGTGGGGAGGGACACAGAGGGGCTGCTTCTGGGAATGGATGATTCTGGCTCCCATCCCCTCGCCACTTTAGTCTCCGGCCAGGATTCCTGTCCAGTTCAGCTGCCCACAGCAGCCAGAGTGATTTTCCTAAAGCACACGTCGTGCCATTGCCACATTCCAACGTCCTTCCAAGGCTTCCCCATGACCTTAGGATAAGACCCAAAGCCTTTCCCATGATTTACAAGGCTCTGTACAAGGCCACAGCCATGCAAGCCTCTCACAATGTAGAGGTTTTGAAGTATGTTATAAAAGATCACATAGTCAGAAGCCCATGTTTATAAAAACTTAAAATAATTATATATATAAGCATAGAAAATAACTACCATCTATTGGGTCCGTGCCAGGCCTTGATGCACAATGGTTTACTATGTACCATCATGTTATTCCTGATAACCAAATGGGCTGGATACTGCCAGCATCTCCTTTACAGAGGTAGAAACAGGCCCAGAGAGGTCCCTGGCTAGTGAGGGAGAGAGCCAGCATGACCCCAGATCCACCAAGCCCAAAGGCCATGCTCTTCACTGCCAGGCTGGTTAGTGCCTCTGTGCAAATTGGAGGTAATAATAGCTCCCACCTCACAGGGCTGTTGTGAGGATTAATTGGGCTAAGATGTATGAAGCTCCCAGAACATATCCTGGCACAGCATGAGGGCTCAGGAAGTGTTGTCACCCATAGCAGCTTAGTACTGCCTCTGGGCAGGCCTACAAGACCACACTCAAAGATGCTCATAGTCATCTTCTCTAGTCCTAGGGTCATAGGTGATCATGTATTTTTTTATTTTTCCACAATGACCAGATATTACTTATGTGTTTGTTTTTAAATTCTTGCATGTATGGTGCCCTTGGTGAGCTGTCAGTCTCCTTAAGGCAGGCCCTGTTGGAGTGATCTCACAGGTTCATCTAAGGGCTGGCTCAGAGAGATTCCCCCCACCTTAAGTAAAGGATCCTGCAGGAAACGGCTCAGAAGAGCCCCTGCTGGCCCCGGCATTCTGTCCACAGGCTTGGCAGGGGTGAGAGTTGAGGGGTAGGTGCAGATCAGTGCCAGCGACTGGCCCCAGCTAAGTCTGCCCTTCACTGGCACTCTCCAAAAGGCATGGTGAGATGCTTTGTGGCTCTTCCGGACCCCAAGGGAGCAATGGGAGCAGCCATGATGCATGAGACCTCCGGCCCTGAATCCACCAACAGCTGTGACCACTTCAGTTATTTTAAACCCTTGGGCACCAGGAAACTGTCACATCAACCAGGCACTGAGCTCAACATTGTGGGCCTGAGCCAGGACAAGAGCCCTGACTGTGTGTAGCCAGGTCTGGCTAGGATTGTTGGGGGAGGGGGGTGGCTATTGGTTATTTCTTAAAACTGTGCTTGCTTATGTTTTCCATACATTATCCTCTTATATAATAACATCCTTACGTTATGCTGAGAGATCAGTCATTTCACAGATGCAGATAAGGGGGCTCTGAGTGGCAAGGTGAAGGCCGAGGCTGCATCAAAGCAAGGCTGGTGCTAGAACCTTGGCTTCCTCAGCTAAGAAGCACAGAAAACAGCCCTCCTCTGCTCTGACCAGTTCTGCCCCTGCCTCTACCTCCCTCCTCCATGTAAGTTCCTGGCTCTGCCACTCTTAGGAGCTATGCCATTCAGGGTAAATTCTTCAACCTCCCTGCGGCTCACTTGCTTCATGTGTAAAGTGGCAGGGTTGTTGGGAGGGTACAGTGGTCTGATTCTAATACATGAAAAGTGCCGCTTGGAACAGTGCCTGACCCACAGAGAGAAGGCACCAAGTGCCCGCTGTTCGGAGAATCTCGTCCTTTTGCCTGATGCTATCACTGCCCTGCGGTGACCTGTCTGGGCCTCAGTTGGTGAGGGGGTGTAGTGTCCTCCCCTCGCTCTGGGTCCCCAGTTTCCCAGTGGGTGAAATGAAGGGGGATACCCTGGCGTATGCCCAGTATCTGCCACACAGTAAGGGCTCAAAAATAACTCTCAGCAGAGGGGTGCACGAGCCCACTTCTGGAGGTGCCTCAAAGTCGTACTGAGCATTACAGTTCCCACCCACTTTGGCAGGTGGCCACCTGGGAGCTGCCTCCTGATTGGAGGATGTGTTTGGCGCATCCTCCAGGAGCCAATCAGGAGTTACCGGCATCTCCCTGGGTCAGTGTGCTGCGACTTTGCGGGACAAGGGGCCTGCTGGCTGGAACGCCAGCTTTTCACCTTCCCCGCCCACATTCCTCCCAGATCCCTGCGCCCTGGAGCAGCTGGTCTCTTGCCAACTCCTAATTTGGACTGCCTTAGGGAGAAGGTTGGATTCAGGGGGCTGGGTGTGTCAATTCTGGACACATCTTGTCCAGGCTCACTTTTTCCTGGGGTCCCCATCTCCCCATCAGCCCTCCCTCTTTCCCAGACATTCATCCTCTCCATCATACCCCTTCCCTCTCACAGCCTCTGCCCACACACACCCACCCACCCACCCCCGATCCCGTCCCCACCCACCAGGGATCACTTACTCACATTTGGCTGAATTATCTGACCAGCCCTTCCCTTGGGTCAGAGGGGAAGGTCTGGATGGCAGCAGAGACTGGTTCAGGTCCCCACTGATTGTCACTTGCACCTCAGTCTCCACAGTACACAAACTAGGGCAGTGGAGTGGCACCCTCTTCACTCAGTAGCCCAGGGCAGAACTAGGGCCCCAATCCTTGTCCACTCTCTCTCCCTGAACTCACACATCCTGTTATTCAAAATCTCAGTTCATAAGCACTGGTCAGATCACTTCCCTCCTCTCCAACTCTGTCGTGCTGCCCCAGCCAGGGTCTTCATGGCTCCTTCCCAAACCCCTCCTCATCCATGGTGGGGGGCGGGGAGCAGAGGGTAGCCAGAATGACCCATTTCACTGCCACTCCTGACCACTCCTTGATGAGGCCCCCATCCCAGGCCTCCACCACCCCCCTTGGTTTGGCATTCTGGCCCCTGCCAGCTACCGGGGCCCCCACCACCAGCCCTCTGCATTTTCCGTATGGCAATGTCGATCTGGTTGTTGAGGGGAGGCGGCTATCAGGCCTTGTCCAGCTCCCTGGCTTTGCTCAGCGTCTCCCTCTCTTCCCCCTTAGTTTGCAAACGTCTCCTTTAAAAAAGTTCAGTCATTCCCTCTTCAGGAAAACCTCCCCGGACCCCAGGCTGGGTTAGGGCACACTCTCTCCGCTCCCACATGGGGACACGGGACCCTGCGTTCTGGCACCTGGCTCCTGGGCGCCCACTTAAGACTTATTGGATCAAAGAATGATTTCACTGCAGGCTTCCCTCAGACCAAGGCAGGGCCCGGGCGAGAGGAGGGAGACGGCTTGGGGGCGGGGCCACGGGTGACGGACAGACCTGCAGCTCTATACGGGAGGAGTCTGGCGGCCGCCACGCCCACGCCCCGCCTACCGGCGGCAGAAAAGGCGGCGCGCCCGGCCCGGAGCACAGAGGCTGCTTGCCCGAGGGCTCACCTGCGGCAGGTGCTCCCAGCGGCCTTGGACCAGCGAGCGGCGGGGCAGAGCGGCGCGGCGAGCGCTGGCACTGCGGACTGGGGAGATGCTGCGTGAGCGGACCGTGCGGCTGCAGTACGGGAGCCGCGTCGAGGCGGTGTACGTGCTGGGCACCTTCCTCTGGACCGATGTCTACAGGTGAGCCAGGCCACTGCGCCGGCGCGAGACCCCCTCCGACCTCAGGTCTCGCCCCCAGAAATCCTGAGACCCTTCTCCACACTCGAGGACGTGGATAGCCTTCTACTAGCCCCGTTAGTCCTCATCCCTAGGGTTCCACGCCCTGAAATCCTAAAAACCTCTCTCAAAAACCTGACAACTACCAGACCTTGTGTCCGCCTGTCTGAAAACCTGAGATCCTCCCAGGCACCCTGACACAGCCTTAGCCCCAGCTCCCTTACTGCTCTTCCCAGACGTCTGCCCCTCGTGGCTGTCCTCACACCCAGCCTTCTCAACCTCAGCGCCTCCTGAGCTTCTCCACCACCCTCTCTCCTTTCACTTCCCCACTTGCCCTCAGCACATCCCTTCCCTTCTGTTCAGGCCCTCCTGTCTGCCACCCACCCCAGCCCAGCCTCCACTGCTAGTGCCAGCAGGTGGGCCTCCTGGGGCAGGACCAGAGAGGAGCTGCCCTGGGAAAAGAATCCGGTTCTGGACTTGGCTCACACTCTGATTTCTCCTGGTGGGGGGTTGCTGATGGTTGGTTGACTGTCCCCAGGCACTGGCCATGAGCTCCAAGTCCCCTAATGCCTTCCCCTAACTTCACCCTGGGACCAGAGAGAGACCATATCCATCCAGCTGAGGTCAGGGACTTGGGGTGGGGTCTTGGTCAGAAGAGGGACCCTGATTCAGGATCCTGCTCCTGCCCCTCTTCTCTCTATCCACGAACTTGGTGGAGTGCAGCATTTCTGAGACCACAGGATATAAGGTAGAGCTCTACCACTACCCCCGGCCCCCAAGAGACAGCCAAGTCTATAACCCATCCTCCCTAGTGTGTGGGCTGGAGACTTGGGAAGATGTGGTTGATGTGAATGAAGGTCCGGACAAGCCCCCTGGAGAATGGGGCTGGGGTTTTATCGGCAGCCCTCTATTCCAAGCATTTGAGATCAGACAAGAGTGGGCACCCTCAGAGTGGCATGGCTATAGACTATTCCATTCTATTGAAACGTTCCCCATTGCTAGGGTTGGAGAGGTCAGTGCTACATGGGGGAAGGGCTTGCATGACTCTGAGGTGGGACACTGTGCTGTGTCAGGAGGGTCCCCTAACCGCTCTCTGCCTCAGGCTGGGCTCACATGGAGGTGCCAACGTGGCTTATTGCTCCCAAATCATTCTGACACCTGCAGCGCCCTGCCTCTGCCCAGCCCCCACCAAACCCCATCCCTCTGTCTCCCCACACACCCTCCCCAGCCCATCCTCTCCTTCACCTCCTGTGGCCCTGGCAGCCCTCCCACTTGCCCAGCCAGTCTCCTGCCACCTCCACAGAGACACTGGCCACTCTGATACCATCAAGTCCCAGGCCCAGGGACCTTCTCGGCTCCTCTGCCCCTGGCCTCAGCTACCTCCTTGGCCTGGGTCTGGGCCTCAGTTATCCTACATGTAGACCAGGTAATCTCTGCAGGTTATAACACTGCCATTAGAGTGTGGTCCAGACACCAGTGGCCTAGGAGGGCTCCCCTCCTTACCCCACCCCCATCTCTGAACTGGGGACTGCCAGGCAGTGGGCTGGGAGCCAGAGTGCTCAGGTCTCTAAGCCTCAGCTGTCACTATACCCGCCTGTTTGTTTGCTGAGGCACTTTTGGTGCAGCCTGAAAGGCTGGCGTGATGCCTTCAGTGGGGAATAGGGAGTAAAGGAGGGGTCCTTCTCAAGCCCCCTCTCTTCGTTCCGTCCTGGCAAAGAAAGGCCCGGCCAGGTGGGGGTAAGGAGTGGGGCAGGGACAGGCTCATCCTCCCTCTAGCAAGAGGCAGAGTTATGATTCCCTTGGCCTTTTTCAAGACACCAGCAATAGCCATTACAACCCACACCCCTCACCTGCACTTAAGATTCCCATGATCTACAGGAGGGTCCGCAGAGCCTAGACGAGCACTGTCCGAAAGAAATAGAATGTGAGCCACAATAAAGCCACATTTTTCATCTTAAATATTCTAGTAGTCTACGTTTGTTTAAAGTTAAATAGGTACAATCAAATGTAATAACATTTTATTTAACCCAATATATCCAAAATATTATTTCAATATGTAATCAATAGAGAAATTATTAATGGGGGAATTTATATTCTTTTTTATGATAAGTCTTTGCAACCCCACATGTATTGTACACTTCAGCACATCTCAACGTGAGTTGACTGCATTTCAAGGGCTCACTAGCCACGTGTGCTGGTGGCCAATGTCCCAAACAGCATGGGTCTAAAGCAGAGTTTCTCAATCTCAGCGCTATTGCATTTGGGGCCAGATATTTCTCTGCTGTGGGAGCTATCCTGTGTAATGTAGGTTGTTCAGTGGCACCCCTGGCCCTTCTCCCCTAGATGTAAGAAGCAAGCCCCAAATTGTGACCATCAAAAATGTCTAAAGACAATGCCAGCAGTCCCCTGGCAGGGAGCAAAATTACCCTCAGTTGAGACTCACTGGTCTAGCAGAAAGAAGCCTCTTCCAGGACTAAGGAGCCTGGGCTGTGACTGCTGTTGTTACTTATAATGTCTGTGTAATAAGAGCTTCTGTCAGTATTAATAAGTAAGCACCTAGGAATCAAATGTGTCATCTCATTTCTTCCTTATCATAGACCTGAGAAGTACTTCTTGGATCATCCCATTTTGTAGATGAGGAAGGCGAGGCTCGGAGAGATGAGGCCACTGGACTCAGGGACAAGCCTGGCTGACTCAGAACTCATGCTCTTATCCTCCACTCTTTTTTGTGTGACCTAAACCCAGCAGGTTAAGCTGGATGACCCTCTCAGCCTATGTCCCTTCCACCCTCCACCTGGCCACAAGCCCACTGTCCCCAGAGACTTCATCCAAGCCCTTTGGCCCTCTACTTACCTCTGAGTCCTTTCCAGCATAGACACAGATCCTGGCTCAAGTTGCCAATTGATACCCTCAGGGTCTCTTAATAGACCCCAAGGAACAAGGCCTTGTGGACACTAGGCCCAGTTATTTAGAGGGTGGTGTCCTGACCTCACTCGTCCTGAGTCACGAGGATGAGCAAACAGGCTCAGCACCCACTAAGAGCTCTGGGCTCCCTTTCCTGAGAGGCAGATGTAGTCTCTTCCCCTCCAAGCACACAGCAGGGGCCTCATCTGCCCCAAAAGACCTTGTGATCCTGGCAGGAACTGCCCTGCCAGTGTGAGCTCCCTCCCTCCTCCCCTGCAGGATCACTCCCAGTGAAGGCTGCTCTTAGGGGCTGAGAAGCCAGCAGGGCAGTGAAAAGAGGCAGAATTTGAAGTCACCCAGACCAAGTTCCTACCCACTGTCTGTGCAACTTAAGCAAATTGCTTAACCTCTCTGAAACTCCCTTGACCCAAATGAGAGGCAATCAGAGAATACAAGGAAAGACCTGGTACCCAGTAGAAGTTGTACACAAGGTCACGATAATGAACTTCCAACCTCAACGGGTCACGCAGGCCACCATGGGAAGGGGGCACACTTCCTTCCTGCAAAACTGACTCTTCAGGGATAGATGCCTCGACCTCGCCACATTCTGACTGCTAGTCTCCAGCAAGTTATGAGTAGATAAACAGAAAGAAGTAGGATTTTTCCTAGAGATTGTACTTTGTGATTGTTAGCAAAGACAGCTTGCTGTGAGCTGGCTACCATAGCTCAGTAGTTAGTGTGCTAGCCACACACACCAGGGGCAGCAAGTTTGAGCCTTTCCTGGGCCTGATAAACAAACCAAAAAGAAATTTTTTTTCAAAGAAATCAACTTGCTGGGCAGTGCCTGTGGCTCAGTGGAGTAGGGCGCTAACCCCATATGCCGAAGGTGGCGAGTTCAAACCCAACCCTGGCAAAAAAAAAAAAAAAAATACTGTATAAAAAAGAAATATAACTTGCTGTTTCCTTCTACGATTCCCAAATAGACTCACCTTAGGTCTGCACAGGTACGCCTGGCTCCCACCATCTCTCCCAGTGGTCCCTATAGCTGGCAGCTGCTTCTTTGCTGGGGCTGGCCTGGGTCCTTAAGTGATAAGGGCTTGAAGTTGGAGAGAAGGCACAAAGGGAGTAACATCCTCAGATTTGGTTTCACCCAGACCACCCACCCCTTGTGAGTGATGCTTTTCATGCACTGGAGGCGTGGACACTCCAGAGTCAGGAAGGATTGGAGGGAGGGCAGTCTCGGAGTAAAGGAGTGGGGTGGTCACCTTCCACTCGACTCTTCCACTGACCCACAAAACAGAACTTGGAGGTAGATTCTCCTGTCCCTCCCTCAGTTTATGCATCTGTCTAAAGGGAGTGAGGGTTCTTTAACACAGGTGTTTCCTTTTCCTTCCTGGTGGACAGAGGCCAAATCCTGAGGTCTGCAGGAGCTACAGGACAAAAGATGATGTTAATAATTGTCTCTTGCCTCAGCAGAGCAGTGGCAACAGGGGTTACATCTGACCTGACCATAAGTCCACGAGGGGGAAGTTGCGGGTGGGAGTGAACTCCTGCCTCTTCCCCGGGACTCCCCAAGGCAGAGGCTGATCAGCCATCTTCTTTGGCAGAGCCTTGCCTGTCACTCTTTGGGCAGAAGATGAGAAGAGGGGACCAGGGCAGGAGTTCCTAGACTCTGGCACAGACCCACTCCCAGACTTTCTCTGTCTCTTGGTTGGTGTAAGTGCTAGGGATTTCTTTGTTTTAAAAAGTATTATTAGGTAGCTGGGCGTTGTGGCGAGTGCCTATAGTCCCAGCTACTTGGAAGGCTGAGGCAAGAGAATCGCTTAAGCCCAAGAATCTGAGGTCGCTGTGAGCTATGATGCCACAGCACTCTACCCAAGGTGACATAGTGAGATTCTATCTCAAAAAATAAAATTAAATTAAAAGTATTATTAGGACAAAGCCCAGGAGGGTCTGAATCCAGTTTGCAGTGATGCTGTGGGCTCCCCTTCCCCACAGTATGCCAGCAGGCCTCACCTCACCGACCCCTCCTAGCAATCCCACTGCACACACTCCATCCT